TCAAGGAGTCCTGAGACTAAAGAGTTTGAGAATTGTGTATTAGATGGAAGCAGAATAAGAAGACTATTTTGGATAATCCAAATATGAGAAGGCTATGCAGCATAGCTAACAAAAAGTTTTTAGTGTAGTTTCAGAGTTAAGAACTTCAATGGTTCATCAACAAGAAATGGAAAATAGAATCAAACACTGAGCTTCCTTTAAAGACACAACTGGTAATGAGCATGATTACAATACACATGGCACCACACAAACACAGTTCAGAGACAAGCACAACTAAGGCCTGGGAAATGAGGGGAAACAGGGATGGGTATGTTCCACAAAGAAGATACAGTCAATTCCACACCCCCCCTTTTGTTTTTAAGCAGAGCCTCTTTCCCTTCAGTTTGTAGAACAAGTAAAATCTTATCACTGTAGGTAAGTATTAAAAATAGAGTTCAGTGCTCCAGAGATGGGCCATACACTGTGCTCATTGATCTGTTTTAAAAAACATACCTATACTATTGTATACTTTCTTGGGACCCTCTCTCACTGCTCGTTGTCTATTACAATAGCATTCTTTCCACTGGGGGAGAATTTTAACTTGCCACCAAATAGTATGACCCCATAACTTCCCCACTTTTTTCTTTAAAGATTTTAAGTAATCTCTATACCCAGCATGGGACTCAAACTCATAACCACGAGATCAAGAGTCGCATGCTCTTCCAACTGAGCCAGCCAGGTGCCCCCATAATATCCCAGCTTAAACATCCTAACCAAACACCAGTACCTTCAGCACCATTAAAAAGAAGCAAGAGCAGAGAGGGCATCTCCTTATCTACAAAGCTTTTGACATCTACTCTCCTTTGAGCCCCTCAACAAGCCTATGAAAAATGGGTAGTAGGCATCATTTATTCCCACTTTACAGATGAGACCCAGAAAGGCCAACTTGACTGAAGTTACCAAGCAGGTTCAGGTCAGTACTATGGCCAACACCCAGCTACCTGTCTTCTAAACCAGTGCTCTCTCTCCTTTAGTAGCAGCCTTGGAATACCTGTCACCTCCACATCCCTAGCTTTGCCCTTCCTACATGACAGATTTCCAATACTGAATTCTGCCTTTGGGACAGAAGATACATATATTTATATACAGGACATATAAATGCATATGATAAGCCAGCAGGATGTATTTCACAACTGCTTTACTTCTGCCTTCCCGTTTCCCTTCCGGATCTGCTCTTTTAGAGACCCTCTTATAGATCACAGAGCTTTGAGATCCTCTAATGAACCCTACAAATCCTATTCCCCACAAACTACACACATATACACACACAGAGTTCGAGGCATCTTTGTCTTCTCAGGGCTCCCCTTGGGGCTTAGGCTGCCCTAAGTTCGAACCGCTACTTGAAAGTCATCGTCCACTCACACTCCCGCACCAACTAAGAAAAAACTCCCTCATTAAGCACAATACAGTCTCCATGTTCCGGGAGGGAAAGGATAGGCTTGTTCTGTCTTGTTTTGCATTTGTCTCAGTTACTGAGAAAAGCAATGGAATACACAGGGAAGGGATTTCCCTAGATGAGGCCAAGTGAAGGCTGCATGACCTCTGGGAGAGATGATGTAAAGATCTGAGTCCTGAATCATGGTCAGACGAGGTGACCTAAAGGGTCCCTTGTAATCCAAGAGGCTGATTTTGGAATGCTCTACACAATGGCAGAAACTCACCTTGGGGGAGAGTCCGTCCCCAAGAAGAGACTACTCGAAGTCCAAAGACACCAACTCCCAGGAGAGGACCAAAATTTGTGATACAACTGGTTTTAGCCATGCCACATGGCACTTGTGACTGGGGCCTGCAGCCCAAGGGGTCCAGACAGCAGCAGATACAGAGAGGGAGGCTGTTGTAAGGGAAAGACAATACTGGGAATCACAGGTATGTACCACCCATCAGCCCCACCTGGCTCCAGATCTACTATATGCACAGCTTCAAAATGTTCAGCCTATTGCCCTTCCTATGTTCGCAGAGTCTCCACTCTTGACACCTAGAGGGCATGAGGAGGTGGGAATTTCTAACTGCTTTCCTTTATCATCCAGGATTCGGAAAGAAAAATCTCACTGAAGCCCCACGAATGAACACTGGACACACTGGGCTGGGGCTGACCTGGCGATGGAGACCAGTGGTCAGTCTCTATGTATTCCCTCAGAGGAGCAAGGACAACAACAGATGGCGGGGGAAACGTGACTGACTATTTGGTACTCAAGATCTGAGGCAAGCAAGCAGGAGGCAGCCTGGGAACAGGAATACAGAGAAACACAAGAGCACGGGACACAGGAGGAAAGCACAGCCAGTGCAGGAACCATGAACGGATACAAGTGATGGGCTAGACACAGGTAGAATACAGGGTTCCCCAAATCCCACCATTTGCTTTCTGCCATCCCAGGGTTTGCCATCTGCAGGTATCATTTGTGCAAGAACTCAACAGTTCTTGTAAAGGGACTCTTCCTTTAAAACCTACCCTCATCCTAAGGAATAAAGTGCTAGTTCTGTTTTTTTCTAATACACATTAGAATAAGACGTAAGTACTAACAGAAAAGTGTTTTCTACATTCCACCTAAAATAACCTGGTACCACACACAGCCCAGGAGCCACACTTAGACACATGACAGTAGCTACGGGTCCTAAGTCTGGAGTTTGGTCCCAACTGCAGCCTCCTCTCTCAGCATGACCTCTGTGGGAGCCCCACCTCCCCATCTCCCAAAAAAGGAAGACTAGTGGAGTCCTACAGCTTCGCTGCAGAGCTCTGACAAAGGTACTCACCAAGCCGACATGTTAGCAGGGTCTTAGAACACAGTTTCTGCTATTTTGGGGTGGATACAGATGGGAAGAAGGGAAAAGCCTCTGGAAGCAGAGGCAGGAGACTCAGGAAGACAGGTCTAGCAAAGAAGGAACCACATCAGATTTAAAACCAAACACATGGCATCTCCATTAACTAGCCACATTTAAGTTACCATTTATAAAATGAGGATCACCATGCCCTTTATTCCTTAAATTTATACCAATGCTCCTAAGCTTTCATTAAACCTGAACTTTCAAAAATGATACACTGACAATCCTCAACGACTCTTGAAAGTCCCATTCCGATTTGCACATAAAAGCTAGACGACATCTGGACCCTTCCCACTAGTTACCAGCTCAGTTTTGGCAACCTCACTAGAGGAGCCATATTTGTTAAATGAAGAAATGTATTGCATTACCTGCCTTTTATAGGAGTAAACTTTTTTTAATTGACGCAAAGGACAAGAGTGGACAGAAGTACCCAATGTGGCAGTTCATAAAGCCCGGTCTGGTGTCCACTGGACTTGACTTTGGTTAAATGTATGCTCGAAATAAGGGAAAAGTGAAGAATGCTGGAAATGTATGAGCCAAGATTGCATCAAAAGGCAAACTACAGTTAGGGAGTTTATAGTCTTCTTTACTTTTTAGAGCACAGAACCCCTCCGTAAAATGCATACGTCTTAAGTCACATTTATCACACTCTATCTCTGTATGTTTTCGAAATGCCATCTCATCTCACAAAAGCTTTGAGGGAGTCTGCAGAAAAACACAGATAAAGCTGGACGAGAGCAAATATAAATCAGAGGGCTAAAAACATAAGATCTAGGTATGCATTTTATTGTCTGTAAATGACACCTAAAACAACACCTCAATTTAAAAAAGCAAAAACAGAAGAAAGAACCAAACAAAAAAGCCAGGGCAAAGGAAAACAAGAAGTACAGGCAGCAGGTCCTGCAGCTGGAGTTAACTGAGCTTCCTGCCAGCCAAAGCTACAAGGGAAATGTGACTGTCTCCTGATTCCTGTTGCAGAGGCGTCAGATCTAAAACTAATTTCTCTGAGGTACCTGCAGTGAGGGACAGTATCCTTCAGGACAGCTCTGTGGTAAAATACGTTAAAGTGTTTCCTCAGACCATTCCTACCTGTATATATCAATGTTAGCCCAAGTGAACATTTCTGCAGCCTGAGTTGGGTGAGCAGGCAATTTAAGTCCAATGAGCAGCTTGGAGCCTCAAATGAAACAAGGACAAAGAGCTCAGGAAGCCATGAACCCTTAGGCAAGGGGGGCGGAACAGACTACCCAGTGTGACCAAGCCAGGGAAACTCACTAGTGGCTCCGGCACCTGCCCTAACCTAATGCAACTGACAAATAACTCCGTTACTGGGGGTGCTCTCCAAAATAACCACAAGGGCCCTCCAGGGCACATCCATTGAGCTCCATGTAGCAGAGGCCCCTGACTAGGCCCCCACATCCATTTTCTCCTTCATCTTTTAATCATGGAAGCCCCGGGGTTTTAACTGGACACATGGTCACCGAAGTAAGAGGCTCTATGTCCCAGCGCCCCTTTCAGCAAAGTGTGGCCACACTGATTTGAGGGACTCCAGGTCATATCCTTTAAAAAGAAAGTGCTTTGCTCTCTCTTTCCCCGGTGTATTGTAGACACGGAACTGATGAGTCTGCTTTGACCTGGTGGGCAAGGTCAACACCCCAAAGTTGGCTGAACAAGACAGAAGGAACCTGAGGTCCTGGTGACCGTGTACAGTTAAATTTGCCCCATACCATCTGATTACATCTGTACTATTAGAAGAGAGAAAAAGAACCTTCTACCAGGAGCCACTGTACTTTAGGTTCTCTTTGTTACAGCAGCTTGGCTTATGGCTTAACCTCATTCACAACAGAACAGAAAGATGCCAGAGGGAGACTCCAAAGGACTCCAGCAGTATCCTAGAAAAGTCAACTCACAGTTCACTTCAGCAAACATGTCAAGAAATGACAGCCATCACACCAAGTTATGCCTTCTACTCCTTCTCCAGGAGAGGCCCAACTGCATCCCTGGAGTAGAGGAAGAGGCCTTTATTACAGCCCAGCACAGCCCAGCCCAGTCCATCCACTGTGGACCTAGGCCAAATCTGCAACAGCTGGAGATACAGACTGCTTTCCCACCAACACTGGGCAGGGACAGCCCTGTCCTACCTTTTCCCTAAAGCAGGAAAGCTCCTCACATCTCCACTCTTCGTAATTACCATTCTTGAGAACAGGCCAAGTCCAGTAAGGCGTAGGGTGAAGCAGCTGCTGGGGGGCTGTATGTGAGGGTCAGGGGAGGGGAGTCCAGATCCCCAGAACAAAAGTCACAGCTGAGAGGAGGGAGAGAAGCCTCCATGTCTGCCCTGGGTTTCTGGGGTCCAGGGGTCTCAGGGTGCAGCCCCTGCTCTTCCTGCACCGACCCCCTGGTGACAGAGCTCAGCTAGGCAGCCACCAGTCACTAACGAATCCCAGCCACCGGCACCTGCTGCTGCTTCCGGATCTTATTGAAGAGTTCCATGTACTGGATCATGGTATCTGCTGGGCCATAGACGGCATCGTGTCTGTTCCCAAACACTGCAGGAGCCCCTGGTGTGTGGCTGCCTAGAAAACTCTGTAGGAACTCGAGCAGCAGGCTCCAGCAGTCGCTGGCTACCACACAGGGGCCATACTCCACCTGGGGACCAAAAGAACAGAGAACAAGGGTGAGTGCAGACAAGGACGAGGTCTTCTGCTTCTCTTGCACCTCTTGCCCCCTGCTCCCATCTTCTCCAACCCCAAGCCAAAGACACACACCTTCTAACAGTATTGCTCCACAGGAAAAACTCAAGCCACACACCAGGAATTCCACATTCCCTTTAGGGATCTCTGACATTCTCATCTTGGGAATTATCAACCCACAACCCCAACCCACAAGACCCAGGACAGGATCCAGGCCCCTTCTGATGATCTCAGAACTGTACAGTCCCTGCTATGGTGCATGAAGATCCAAGGAGAGCTCCAGAAAATTCTGACAGAAAATGAAGAACAAGAGAATGTGAAAGTGTGTATGTATCTGTGTGTGTGTCCACAGGGGTCAAAGCAGACACACATGCTCTTAAGTCTCTTTAAGACCAAACATTACCCCCATAATGGACCCCACCTGAGCCTAAGAAGTAATTTCCCCACCAATGTGGCAGGGGCCAAAGGAGATACATCTTACACTTTCTCAATCCTTTCTCCTAGTTTTTCACTGGAAAGATGGCAGGGAAAATAATTAGTAACCATAAGGAAAACCACGTAAAGAAAGAACTGGGATGTATTTGTACCATAAAGCTGGAAATATGAAGGACAGGCAGACAGTGGGCTTCTAGTGGGTCTCAGCAAATGTGAGGTGTATCACAAACCAAAAGGGGTCAGGAAATCTTGGTCACAGGGGTCCCTGGAGTTTCAGAGCAGTAATTACTGCTAAGGCCCTTTTCTCTACCTGGAATGCTTTGTGAGTCTCATCTATCCCCGTATCTCTACATTTTAAGTCTCTCTTTATATGCTACTCCTGAAGAAAGCATCCCAATCCTCAAAGTCAGCAGTGCTCTCATTGGCCTGAATTCCCAGAGCAATCTGTGCCCGGGGAATGTCTTACAGACTAACTTCAGAAACACTTTGTTTTAGCTTCGCTCATTTACTATCATACGTTTTCAAAAGGCAGGCCCCTGTAGCTCACCTATTTTTTTTTTTTTTTTTTTTAATCTCACACAGTGCTGGGCATGTGGTAGACTGAGGAATTTCACTGGTCCCAAAGCCAGCTATGCCACATTCTTTGTGGTTTCCAGTATACACCTCAGAGATGAAGTCTCCCCCCACACACACCTCTTTCTACCATGAAAGAAAGTCGACAGCATGTCAAAAGGAAAGGCTCATCTTGCTACACAACCTTTCTGACCTATCTTAAGTTGTACTGTGGAAAAGTATGTAGACACATGATTTAGGGCCCACCTCCCAAAAGTTGCCCTGGTTTGCTCCAGTCCTTGTGATGGGTGACTGGTCCCTTGACTATTCCTTCCCTTCTCCAGCAAGCCACCCTCCTAAGCTTTCTATCTGCTCTGACCCCAGCGTCCCATTCCCATCATGGGCCAGAGCCTGAATGATTAAAGAAAAGGTAAAGGACACAGGGACAGAGGAGCACACAGGCCCTGGAGACAGGGATGAGGAAGGCGTAAGTGCCTGTCTGCATTCAGAGGGGTGAGAAAACCTGCAGGGCCCTCTGCTGAGCGGTCCTTCAGCACACACTGCTCCTGCTTCCCCAAGGTCTTACCTCTACGGAGATGCCCCGGGCACTGGGCCCCATGGTGACTGTGCCCACCTTCACTAGGAAGTCACAGTACTGGTAACGGGTACCCCGTGTCTCAATCTTGCTGGCCTTGGCACTCTGGAAGAAGCCCTTGAGTTTCACCATGAGCACGTCGAAGTTGGTATCAGCAATAAGCCAAGGGCCATTCTCAAAGAGGGCAAAGCAGCTCAAAGGGTACTCTGAGTTGTGCATCACGTACATCAGCTTCCCAGCCTGACCTGCAGGGAAAGAGAGCCTATCAGCATCAAAATCTTCATCCTCAAACCCCGGGATAGAGTCAAAAGTGCGCAACAGGGCCAGACGGCAATCTGCCATTACCTCAGCCATTTTGGAGGGCAATGGCCAGGGGTGGGGGGCGGAATTCCCCTCACCAACACTCTTTTTCAAAGAGGAAGAGAGAAGAATGGCAGGCAAGGCAGCATGTGGTAAAACCCCGCTCTACAGAAAACGTGAGGACCACAGGGGAATTTCGATAGAGCTAGTAACAGTTTAGTTCTTAGGTTGAGAGATGATCTCCTAGATGGATGCTTGATGTCAAATAAATAAAATCTTTTTTTTTTTAAGATTTTATTTATTTATTTGACAGAGAGAGATCACAAGTAGGCAGAGAGGCAGGCAGAGAGAGAAGGGGAAGCAGGCTCGCCGCTGAGCAGAAAGCCCTATTCGGGGCTCGATCCCAGGACCCTGGGATCATGACCTGAGCTGAAGGCAGAGGCTTTAACCCACTGAGCCACCCAGGTGCCCAAAATAAATAAAATCTTTAGCAAAAAAAAGATTTTATTAGAGAGAGAGAGTGAAAGAGAGAATGTGTGTGCATGAGCAGAGGGAAACAGTACAGGGAGAAGCAGACTCCTCGATGAGCAGGGAGCTGGATGCAGAACTTGATCCCAGGACCCTCACATCATGAGCTGAAGACAGATGCTTAACCAACTGAGCCATCCAGGTGCCCAAACCCTTGGAGTGCTTTAATGTATTAGCTGATTTGGGTGATTTCTCTGAGAAATGAGTTTTCTCACTGATTACTACTAGAGATTCTCTGCAGGAAGAAAGGAAAGCTACATATATTTGGTTAATTGAAAATGGAAAGCAAGATCCCCCTCTCATATACAACAAGAATCAATGGATAGACTACCACAATCCCAAGTATTTATTAAGACTTAACTAAAAAATATTTATTAAGTACTTAACTATCCCTAATATTTATTAAAAATATTTCATTTATTTATTTGTCAGGCAGAAGGAGAGAGAGAGCGTGCCCGCACACAAGCAGGCAGAGAGGCAGGCAGAGGCAGAGAGAGAAGAAGGCTCCCTGCCGAGCAAGGAGCCCATGCGGGACTTGATCCCAGGGATCATGACCTGAGCTGAAGGCAGCAGCTTAACCCACTGAGCCACCCAGGCGTCCCTATCCCCAATATTTTTTGCAAGTTTAAGAGGCAATGCAAGTGGAGGACTTAGCACCTGGCCTCAGGAAGCTGATGCTCTCATTAAAGACAGGTGAGGGGCATCTGGGTAGCTTGGTCAGTTAAACATCTGTCTCTAGCTCAGGTCATGATGCCAGGGTCCTGGGATCGAGCCCCACGTCAGGCTTCCTGCTCAGGTGGAAGTCTGCTTCTCCCTTTCTCTCTCCCTCTGCCCATCCCCACTGCTCTTTCACTCTTTCTCTCTCAAATAAATAAATAAAAATCTTTAAGAAAAAAAAAAAATAAAGACAGGTGAAAAACTTTTAAAGAGACTGTAAGACTAAAATGCTTACATGGGACAGACCAGAAGTCTTCTTGGAAGGAAGATCAGAGCAGAAAGAGATCAAATTGTGCAAGAATCAGCAGGAAAAACTTTCATGGAGAAAACAGGACCTGAACTATGAAATGAGGAGAGGACAGAGTTCAGCTGCACAGAGGAGGAAAGACATCCTAGGCAGGAATGAGAGTTTAACAATGGGAATGAGGAGATGGGGCGGAGACAGCTCTACACAGGCCTCCACTCTGCTGCCACTTCCAAAACTCAACAGGCTCTGTGCCAACCGCCCCCCACGTCCCTCCTGTCCACTTGCTGCCAATGCATACCTTTCACCTCCTGCCAAACCCAGTGCAAAAAAAACAAAAGTACCCAAAGATGATCTGTCATTCTGTTCTTGTGCAAACTCACTGTAACTATTTAATTCATACCATAGGAGTCTGCAGGAGTTCTTACTGTCTTAAAAATATTTTGAAAGTCAGCTAAGGTTTTTGTTTTTGTTTTTGTTTTTAATGAAGAAGGCACTGCCAATTGTTTACAAACAACAGTATTTTTTAAATCAAAATAAAGTATCTTTGGGGATGCCTGGGTGGCTCAGTTGGTTAAGTGTCTGCTTTTTTTTGAAAGATTTTATTTATTTATTTGACAGACAGAGATCACAAGCAGGCAGAAAGGCAGGCAGGGGTAGGGGGAGCAGGCTCCCTGCTGAGCAGAGAGCCCAAAGCTCAATCCCAGGACCCTAAGATCATGACCTGAGCTGAAGGCAGAGGCTTAACCTAGGCGCCCCTAAGAGTCTGCTTTTGGCTCAGGTTATGAACTCAGGATCCTGGGATCAAGCCCTGCATAGTCTGCTTCGCCCTCTTTCTCTCCCCCAGTTTGTGCTTTCTCTCTCTCTCAAATAAATAAATCTTTTTTAAAAAGGTATCTTTGTATCAGCACAAACTTGTGAAGCAAGCAGAACCAGTGTTACTCTCCCCCTTTTACAGACAAGAAAATGAAGCCTATAGGGTTCTGGACCAGCAGCAGCAGCAGCAGCGCCACCGCCTGGGCACTTGTTGAAAATGTGGATTCTCTGCCCTAGCTGATACTTATTGAGTGGAAACGTCTGGGAGGTACCCCACAATCTGTGTTAACGAGCTCTCTCCATAATGTTAATGCCGGCTCACGGGAGAACTTGTGATCTAAAGGCACAGAGTCAGCAAGGAGCAGAAGTGGAACTCCAATCCGGGCCTTCTGACCTCAAGTCTATTGCTCCTTCCATTCCACCCCACTGTCTGCTACCAATGTGTCCTCTCCCCAACTAGACTGTAGCTCCTTAAAAAGTAAAGGTCAAATCAGGAAACAGAGCCTCTGACAGGTAGTTTCATAGATACGTATGCCATCTTATATCTGTGCACAAATGTTTCGTTTTCCAAATGCTTTCATAACTGTTCTCTCTTTTAATTCCTACATCCTTCCTACTGAAGGCAAAACTAATGGTAAGTAACACTGTGATTTTACTGGTGATGAAACTCAGCAGAGCTCTTATTTATTAAACACTACATGACAACCTCAGTTCTAAGTACTTTGCATGTATTATTTAATGACCACAACAACTTATTTAATGACCACAACACCAGGGGATCAGTACTATGATATTTTCATTTCACAAATGACAGAACAGTCCTGGGAAGATACAGAAACAGACCACGTAGAAAATATTTTCATCAGAGGGGATTTAATACAGGGAACAAAATACCAGGGTTGGGAAAACCAAAAAAAAAAAACAAATGGTGAGGCCACTCAAATACTAGCAGCACAGGAAGCTACTATAAGAAATAATACTGCTTATTAGGAATAAGAAATACTTCCTATTACTGCTTCCCTTAGTCTGGAAGGAAAAAGAAAGGATGTGTTGTCATTTGAGCCAGGCACAAGGGGCACCCAGCAGGAGCTAAACCCAAGGGATAGACACAGTCACATCCGGAGACACTGCTCAAAGCAGGAGTGGAGATCCTGTGCTCTTTCTTCGGTCCTCTAACCTTCCCCACTGCCCCTCACTGGCGGAAGGTGACTAAAAGGGGCCTGGCAAATGCTGATTGCAGGCAAAGTATGGGGAATGGATCTACAGGGGAAATAGGCTAATGACCGGCACAGAAACGGTCATAGGTTGTGGAACTTCCATAAGTTGCACTTAGTATGTGACCAGGACTTAGTTCTCTGGTTCCATGATCTAACCTCTTAATCACTGTGCTCTGGAACTGTCCCAGGTCAAATTAATGCAGAGCCAAGACTAAGAGAACCCAGGCTCCCTAATTCACATGCAAAGATTCTCTGACACAGGAAATAACAGATGTTGGCAAGGATGTAGAGAAAGGGGAACACCCTTACACTGTTGGAAGTGTAATGGCACTTGGAAGTGGCTATACCAATGCAAACTGGTATAGCCACTGTGGAAAACAGTATGGAGTTTTCTCAAGAATTTAAGAAACTACCCTACGACCCAGCAATTGCACTACTAGGTAATTATCCAAAGGATACAAAAGTACAGATCTGAAGAGGTACATGCATCCTGATGTTTACAACAGCATTATCAACAATAGCCAAATTATGGAGAGAGCCCAAATGTCCATCAACTGATGCACGGACAAAGAAAATGTGGGAAATGTATAGATACATATCTACTATCTATATATACATATGACCTATACATTTACTACATCTACATATATTATAGAGATGCATAATGGAATATTAATCAGCCATCAAAAAGAAAAATCTTGAGATCCGCAACATGGATAGAAATAGAGTGTATTATGGTAAGTGAAGTAAATCAGAGAAAGACAAATACAGTATGATTTCATTCATATGTAGAATTTAAGAAACAAAACAGTTGAACATACAGGAGGGGAAAAAAAGAGATAGGGAGGAGCAAACCATAGAAGACTTTTTTTTTTTTAAGATTTTATTATTTATTTGACAGAGAGACCGTGAGAGAGGGAACACAAACAGGGGGAGTGGGAGAGGGAGAAGCAGGCTCCCTCCTTAGCAGGGAGCCCGATGTGGGGCTCGATCCCAGAACCCTGGGATCATGACCTGAGCCGAAGACAGATGCTAAACAAGCGAGCCACCCAGACACCCCACCATAAAAGACTCTTAACAATAGATAACAAACAGGATCCAAGAAGGGAGATGGGTGGCGGCTAAATGGGGTGATGAACACCCAGTGTTACAGTAAGCAACAAATCAGTAAATTCTACTCCTAAAACCAATATTACACTGTATGTTAACTAACTAGAATTTTCAAATAAAAATTTGAAGAATAAAAAAGATTCTCTTTGCCTCCCTACCACCACCATCCACAGTCCATCTCAATATATTTAAAACAAAAGTTGATGTAAAGGTCAAGGTGATGCCAGTGAGATATCCAAGGCCACTGACTAGGTGTGGGAATCTGAAAGCCTTTCTGCACGAAGTTCTGAACACTCTAAAGCTGTGAAAGGATCATAGACTTCCGGACCTAAAAGGAGTCCCTCTCAAACTGAAGAGCGTGTAAAGATCATCAAGGGAGCTGGCTGAAGTGTAATTATGAGGCCTGCAGCACCAGTCAGATGGTAAGGAGAGCCGGGACTCTGCACCTTTATTTTTTTAAGATTTTATTTACTTATTTGTGAGAGAGCTAGAGAGTGAGAAGGAGGGAAGAGGGAGAAGGAGAGAGAATTCTAAGCAGATGCTGTACTCCGCATGGAGCCAGATGCAGGACTTGATTCCTGAGATCAGGACCTGAGCCAAAATCAAGAGTTGGATGCTTAATCGACTGAGCCACACAGGCGCCCCAGGACTCTGCACCTTTACCAAGTAACCCAGATGCTTAGATGCCATTAACCAGTGAACAATCCCCTGAGAAACACAGCTTTAAAAGTGCAAAGTGCAGGGGCGCCTGGGTGGCTCAGTGGGTTAAGGCCTCTGCCTTCGGCTCGGGTCATGGTCCCAGGGTCCTAGGATCGAGCCCCACATCAGGCTCTCTGCTCCGCGGGGGGCCTGTTTCCTCCTCTCTCTCTGCCTGCCTCCCTGCTTGCTTGTGATCTCTCTGTCAAATGAATAAATAAAATCTTTAAAAAAAAAAAAAAAGTGCAAAGTGCAAAAAGACTAAAGCATCGGCCCAGTCTAAGAGATGAAGGACCAAGATTTAATGAATTCAGAAACATGTGCCACATGTTCAAGAATACCACCCTTAGCAAAAGAGCATAAAGATTCCAATAGAGGGAAAAAAAAAAGATTTCAATGAACATGCACGTCAATCAACTCCAAGCGAGGTTCCAGCCATCATGCAGATCCATCTCACTGACCTTGGCTGCCAAGAGTGGAGGCAGCTGTGTGGTAGGTCTCACAATCCACACAAAATGTTCCTTGCTTCTCTGCCCCAAGCATCTCCAATTTCCGGGTGAGGAGCTCCACCGTCTGCTGGACACTCTTGCCCTCAGCCACAGGCATCTGGGACACACTGGAAGGGAGAGGACCAAATCATCAGTATCCGGAGACCTAGGTGCACTCACTGAGCCATTCATTTACGCACAGAATCACAGCTCTTCAGGGCCAGGAGTTACCCTGATCCTCTCTCTCATTTTAAAGACAAAGAAATAGAGGCTCACAGTTCCTGAGAGCTCCACTGAGAACTAGAACACAGGTCTCAGGACACTCTCATCAGTACAGTGAACTCCCTATCACACCAATGTTTCCCAAGCAGGACATGTATGCCAATGTTCAAGAGAAGGTTTTAAGGGAGCCTGGGTGCCTCAGTCGATTAAACATTTGCCTTTGGCTCAGGTCATGACCCCAGGGTGCTGGGATAGAGTCCCACATCAGGCTCCTTGTCTGGAGATGGAGAGCCTGCTTTTCCCTCCCCCTTTGCCTGCCACTCTGCCTACTTGTACGCTCTCTCTGTCAAATAAATAAATAAAATCTTAAAAAATAATAAAGTAAAATGATTTAAAAAATAGTCTCATTAAAAAAAAGAAGAAGAAGAAGGTTTTAAGTGGTACAGAGATTGAGCAATCCGTAACACTGGGTCATATGAGAAAGGGATGTCCTTTGTGATTACTTCAGTTCTGACTATATAGGGAAAATCTCAATCTGGGGTTAGTATGTCCTTACACCATTTCTCTAACACTTTGTGCGCTGTCCAGAACAGTAGCCACAAGCCGCATGTGGCTATTTATACTTACACTAATAAAACAAGTCAAATTAAAAAGTCAACTCCTCAGCTACACTACCCACATTTTAAAGGCTCAATAGCCACATGTGACCGAAGGCTAGTGTATTAGACAATGGTGTCATAGAACATTTCCGTCAATGCAGAAAATTGTATTCAACAGCCCTAGGATCCAAGAGAAAGCAAGCCTCAAGTTTATAATCTTTAGGAATGAGAGGCGACAGTGCGTCCAAGAATAAAATCAAAACAATGAAATAAAAATGTTATTTTCAAGATTTCCTTCTACGGTAAGTGAAACTGGCTTCCCCTTTAGAGTAGTAGATAACAATCATTTCGCATCTCTGCACGTACCAGGCAGAGTCCAAAGGCCTTTAGACAAATGAACTCTTTGAATCCTCACAACAGCCCTATAAATGAGCTATTATTTGTATCCTTGCTACAAACGAAAAAACTGAAGTACAGAGGGATTGAGTAACTCGCACAAGGTCACAGAGCTTGGTATGGTGTAGCCAAGATTCAAAGCCAGCAGGCTGGCTCCGTGTCTGTGTTCTTCTCCATTATACTAGATTGTTTCCCTAGAGACATTGCTGCCTATTGAAAAGTTTTTAAGGCAAAGACATAGATTTAAAAGAAAACAAAAACTACTGCATGTGGTACCTAGCTATATAAAAACTGCATGTTACTGAATTTAGGAAGACACCAGGTAACTTTATGATCAATTACATGAAGGTATAAAAATGGAAGTCCTGCTGTTGCTAAAAATTGTCACAACTCTCCACCGGAAAAGGCACTCATGAGCAACGAGATGATGTGCCTTATTGAGAAACATAAGAGAATCCCTAAACTGATGTTATAGGGGTCAGAAGTCCCAGGAGTGTGAAAAACTTAAGGGTCCCATTCCCTCTCTTGTCTTCTGAGAGAACAGAGGCTTCCAAAGTTCCAAGGCTCTATGCTGCAAACCTTTCATTCCATCCCTCACACATTCCTCCTTACACAAGAAGACTTAGAAAAGGCTCATGATGTCCACTATGGAAAACAAAGGTGCAGTAACGGACAAGCCAGCAAGAACTAGAGCTACCAGAAAAAGTAGTTCCCACGGGCTCTGGCCACTGACTTCAGAATATCCTAGCCTCCAGCCCTCTCTTACTGGAAACATGCTAATACTTACCAATATTCAAAACAAAACCAAAAAAGACCTGAAATCTAGCATTCTGGAACCCATGCCCCAGGCATTAGGCCCATACCGTTCTCTGCCACCCTACTTATATCATGTCAGTAAAGTCCATAGAAACTAGACCAATCATATAATTAAACACAGTGGGAAACCGATCCCTAAGAGGTGACGTACCTGAACCCTCATCTGACTCCAACAGCTTCTCCCTCCCGCCCCTTAGACTGAAGATCTTAAAACGGCCACACCAGAACCAGACACGGGCTGGTCTAACTGCATTAGGTGGCTGTAGGGAGGGGCAGGAGAAAACCTGAAAAAAAGATGGTTCCCTCGTGGCCTATCCTGCACCCCCTCTAGCCCTGCCTGCAGATTGGGTCCCAGTCCGGACATTCTATTTCCAACGCTTAAGTTCTACCCCTGGCAGCCCGATGGCCTCCTGGGAAGGAAGAAAAAGAAAGGAGTTTCACCACCGATGGGTTCCTGGGACAAAACCTTTCACCTGCCGCCTTCCAGGACGAAAGGAAGCATCTTCGAGCAAACAAGCCCAGAGAATCCGCAGCCCTCACAGTGCCTCCCTCACCCACACATTCCGAAGACATCTTGCTCAGCTCGTGGAGGACCGCGGACCCTGGTCCCGAGCCTCCTCCCTGGTACACTCCAGGCTCCTTAGGGCCCTTCCCGACCCCAAACGCCGCCCCTCAAAGTCCCTTGCGGACCTACCAAGTCACTCCCATGGTACCGGGCCAGGAGTGTGACAGGAACAAACAGTTGAATCACAGCGGTCTCCGGCCGCCCACACTAGGCGAATCCCCCCTAATGCAAGATTCTGCGGAGGGAGGTGCTCCGGAAATGACGTAAAAACAGAGCGTCCAGTCGACCTGCCCACGAGGAGCAGGGGCAGGTCGAGGCACCTCCTCGGTGACGCCTCCAGTGACGTCACTGCTCGACTCCTGCCCCCGGCCTTCCAGCTGGGGAAGTTCGCGTCTGGGGACATAGGTCTTCGATCCGTGAAAGTAGAAAAATCATCGCTCGACTGCCACCACTTGGAGAATACAACGTTAAATGCAATGAGTTTATTCGGGAGTCCAGCTCCAGGATCCGTGAGCTCTTTTAGGGGGTGTGACGGCGCGAATGGCACTTCTGGCCTCCGAACGCTAGGAGGCGCTGTAATCTCCGTGGGAGTCTCTTGGGAACTGAGAGTTCACTGCGCAAGTGCACTGAAGACTCCCCCCACTCCCCTTCGTCCCCACGTGTGAAGTTTTCCGGCGGCGTTTTGGAGGAAAATGCCCAAATTCAAGGCGGCTCGCGGAGCTGCGGGTCAGGAAAAACATGCTCCCCTGGCTGAGCAGATCCTGAGTGGGGACGCGGTGCGAGCAGGAGCCCGGGAAAAGCGGCGCGGTCGTGGGACCGGAGACGAGGAGGAAGAGTATGTGGGGCCCCGGCTGACCCGACGGATTTTGCAGCAAGCACGGCAGCAGCAGGAGGAACTCGAGACCGAGCATGGGACTGGGGGCAAGCCCGCAGCGCCACGCGAGCGTACCACGCGGCTCGGTGAGTGGTGGTGGGGGGAGTACCAGGAAGAGGGAGGTTCGTTTGGGGGAGGGGAGGAGTAGACGGCCAAAAGGTATTTAGCACGAGACTCGTTTGAAATCAAGAAAATCAAATAAAGTAAATAAGGGGTCTGCAATACACCCTTGCGAAGGTAATGAATTGGGAGACCCCGCTCTGGACCAGATTTAGAGTGGTCAGACCTCTCTACACCCACTTGTAGTTTTAGATACTCGGCTTCTAGGCACCCCTGAAGTTAGACCAACAGGAGGTAGTTGCTCACGCCACAGAGCACTCCTAACATTTATCCATTTGTTCTGTACCTTCTTGGGGGTTGTCTGGTCCGCGCTTTGCACTGTGCTAGGAGTTTAGATGGTTTGGGTAAAGAAGGAAACAGGAGAGCCTTGTGCCTGACTTCAGGATCTTACAGTCTAGCCCAAGAGAGAGACAATTAAATTGATGATTAGAATAATACATTCCAGGGTAAAGAAAGAATAGCTTTCCTTATAACAATAGCATTACTTTTGGGGTCAGGCTTCCCAGATTGCATGACTTTTGTGTTGAGAAAAATGAGTGGGAAGGGCGCCTGGGTGGCTCAGTGGGTTAGGCCTCTGCCTTCTGCTCAGGTCATGATCCCAGAGTCCTGGGATCGAGTCCCACATGGGGCTCTCTGCTCAGCGGGGATCCTGCTTCCCCCTCTCTCTCTCTGCCTGCCTCTCTACCTGCTTGTGATCTCTGTCAAATAAACAAATGAAATCTTAAAAAAAAAAAAATGAGTGGGAAGTGCTCTGAGCAGAAAGAGTGATATTGTTTAGGTGCTCAAGAGGAAGAGAGACTAATTAAAAGATGGTCAGTATTAGGGTGGATGTGTTGACCTCCGAGTTGCTTGATCCGTTTCTCAGATCTCATCTTTAATTTGTCCTGAGAGCACTGTTTTTGACAGTTGAACACTGGCCTTCTGGCTTCAGTATCTTTTGCTGGCTCCTCTCTTGGGTCCAGCCTCTTATCATTGATGGGCCACAAGGTTCAGTTCTTGAACCTCTTCTCTTCATGTCACTTCTGCGGTGCTGTCATCAGTTTCATGGTTTAAGTGCTTCCACATGGTGACTGCTTCCAACTTTGTATTCTTGCCCAGATCTCTTCCATGAAAATAAGATTCTTCTATTTCAGCTGCCTTTTTTATATCTCAAATTTAGTGTGTCCAAAACAGGAATTCTGTTCTTGCCAAACCTGCTCCTCCCACTGTCCTCCTCATCTCAGTTAATAGGATGATATCTTTCCATTTCGTCAAGACAGAAATCTTGGACTCCTCTCTTTCTTACTCCACATCTGATCTATTAGGAAATCCTGTTGACTGTCTTCAAAATAGATTAAGAGACCATTTCTCATCACCTTGAAACACAGTCCTGTTTAAACCACCATAATATTTCACCTGGATTATTGTAGTAGCTTCCTAATTAGTATTCCCATCCACCTTACAGTCCATTCGCAACAGCGGGAAGACTTCAAAGATCTATGTGATCTGCCCCTGTTGCCAATTTGACCTCTTCTAATACTTTCCCCTTGCCCTCTTCATCCATACAGGCTTTATTTTTCCTTAAACATAATAAGCTGGGGCTTTTGCCCTCATTATTTCTTTTGTATTCATACCCCTGTAGATTTATTCCCCTGATTCTTCAACTTCTCAGAGACGCCTACTGTGGCCACTCCGTTAAAAATGGAAATACCTGGGGGCACCTGGGTGGCTCTTTCGGTTAAACATTTGACTTCTGCTCAAGTCATGATATCAGGATCCTGGGATCGAGTCTATGTTGGGCTCCGTGCTCAGTAGGGAGTCTGCTTGTCCCTTTCTCTCTCTCCCAAATGAATAAAATATTAAAAAGAAGAAGAAGAAGAAGAAAGAAAGGAAAAGAAAGATAGATGGGGTGCCTGGGTGGCTCAGTCATTAAGTGTCTGCCTTCTTCTCAGGTCATGATCCCAGCTTGCTGGGATCTAACTCCACGTTGGACTCCTTGTCTGGCGGGAAGCCTGCTTCTCCCTCTCCCACTCCCCCTGCTTGTGTTCCCTCTCTCGCTGTGTCTCTCTCAAATAAATAAATAAAATCTTTTTTAAAAAAAGAAAGAGCGAGCTCCCATTCCTGCTTCCACACTTAGAACTTCTCTACTCTGCTCTATGTCTTTTTCTTTTCTTTTTTTTTTTTTTTTAATTTCATTCATATATCTGACAGAGATTACAAGTAGGCAGAGAGAGAGGTGGAAGCAGGCTCCCTGCTGAGCAGAAAGCCCGATGCGGGGCTCGATCCCAGCACCCTGGGACCATGACCCGAACTGAAGGCAAAGGCTTTAACCCACTGAGCCACCCAAGCGCCCCTGCTCTATGTCTTTTTCATAGCACTTGTCTTCTTTTAATACTTATTATTGTCTCTCCCTTATTAAAACACTCGGCTCTGTCAGTTTGTCTTTTACACTAATTTCAGCACTCAGAATGGTGCCTCACATATAGTAGGCACTCACTGTTTGCTGAGTGAATTGGTTAATGGTAGTAGGGTAGGTAGGAACCAAATCTGCAGAAAACTCCAAGGCTATGTTCAGGATTTAAAGCTGTCCCAAAGACAGTAGGGGGCTGTTGGAGCATATGGAGACCAGTTAGGGCATTGTTGAACTAATGCAGATGAGATGATGCTAATCTAGGTTCAGGCAGAACTGTGAAGGATTTGAGAGATAGTTTGGGAGGTAGAATTGAATAGGACTTGCTAACTGATTGTGTATTGGGGTGAGGACAGGGGATGAGGCAGGCCTACCAGGTTCTGGCTCAGCATTTGGTGGACAGTAGTGCCATTTACTTAAAACACGAATAAAGTGAATGGCAGAGACCTAGAAGGGAAAGAGAGTGAATTCGGTTGATGACAGGTGAAGTTCGAATTGCCTGTGGCTTATCCAAGAGCTGCTGTACAGGAGGGAGCTGGAGTGAGTCTTTGGAGTAAAGGGAAATCTACCTACAGGCACAGATTTGGGGTTTGTTAGCATGTGGAGACAAAACATCTGGTGCATCCCCCTCCCCCATTTAGCTTTTATCACACACTGCCTCCGTTCTTTTTTTTAAGATTTTATTTATTTGATAGAGTGTGCGCACAAGCGGGGAGTGGCAGGCAGAGGGAGAGAGAGAAGCAGACTTCCTGCTGAGCAGGGAGCCATGCATGGGGCTCTATCCCAGGAAGCCCGCAATCATGACCCAAGCCGAAGGCAGGCGCCTAACTGACTGAGCTACCCAGATGCCCTCACTGCCTCTGTTCTTAATGAGCTGTTCATGTGTAACATTATATCTTTCTGCTTGGATTATTACATAAACCTTTCCAGATGCTTAGCTAGCTGTAGCCTTCCAATAATCAGTTATAAAAATGGGTTGTGCCGGGGTGCCTGGGTGGCTCAGTCAGTTAAGCATCTGACTTTGGCTCAGGTCATAATCTCAGTGTCCTGGAATTGAGCCCTGTGCGGTGTCTGGCTCTGCATTCAGCTGGGAGTCTGCTTCTTCCTTGCCTTCTGCCTCCGCCCCTGCCCTTGTTCATGCTCACGTGCATACACACACACTCTTTCTCAAATAAATAAGTTCTAAAGGCAGGGGGAGGGGGTTTGTTCCATTGAAATCTGAACCCCGTTGCCTGGCCTCAAGACCCTCTGCATGTAGCCTTACTTTACTGCTCTAGCCTTATTTCGTGCTATAGCCTGTTAGATACTCTGGTAACCAACCGTTTCTGCCAGTGTTGTTACCCACACCTGGAGCACACTCCTCCAGCCCTTGTACTGCCTGTCCAGAGTCTGATCGTCCTCTGCTTTCATCACCTTTTACATGCCTGTGGTATACACTGCCTCTACTACTCATTTTGGCGTATAATGAAACCCTACAAGGTGTATAGAACAGAGGGGAAGAACGCGCAGTCTAAACCCAGACTACCTGCCTAGGCAAGTTACTTAACTTTCCCATGCTTCAGAGTCCCCCTCTGAAACTGGGGAGAAAAGTAGTACCTACTTCTTGGTGTTACGAAAATTAGGTACAGTGTTTAGAAGAGGTCCTGCGTGTTAGTGATTATTCATTGGCATCGCTGTTCCTTAGCTCATATTTGTACATTTTGTTTCTCAAGCGAGATTGGAAACAAGACCCCCCCACCCCCGGAACTGGAAGACAGTGGGGCATCGCTGCTTTCACTACGATTGTCCGTGCCTGTTACAAGCCCATTTGAGGCTTGTACTGTGCATCATGGGTAACACTGAATTGACCTCTACATCTCCCACCCACGACTTGCGTTTGCTCATCCATTTTTCTCCTCTTCTAGGTCCAGGAGTCCCACAGGATGGATCAGATGATGAGGACGAGGAGTGGCCCACCCTGGAGAAGGCTGCCACAATGACGGGGTCAGGCCATCATGCAGAGGTGGTCGTGGACCCTGAGGATGAGCGTGCCATTGAGATGTTCATGAACAAGAACCCTCCTGCCAGGTAAAGCTGGCATGGCCTGGGGGTGTGGGAGGTCGGGTCCCGGTGGCAGCTTTCCTACAGGAAAGCAGATGCCCTGGCAGTTTCGGTTCCCTGCCTTTGGGAAGGGCCTGAGCATAGCTAGTTTTGGGGAACCGGCCCATCCTCAGTGGGAATAACCCAGGCCCAGCTGTCCACTTATAGAACTGCCCAGGGAGACAGCTATAGGGCCTTCTCTCATGCCTCCAGGGCAGTCTATCCCATTGGATTTGGTTTTGGTCTGCTCGGTTTTCTGAGTGCTAATTTCCTTGGCCAGGTCTCTTTCACACTTTCAGCATCAGTTCAGCCAGGGTTTCTCAGCCTCGGCTCTACTGGCATTTTGGGCTGGATAATTATTTTTTATGGAGGCTGTCCCGTGCACTGGGCGATGTTTAGCAGCATGCCTGACTTCTGCTTGCTGGGTGCCAGCAGTGATCTTTCCCATAATCACGATAACCAAACAATGTGTCCAGACTGTTAGATGTTCCCTGGTAGGCAGACTCGCCCCCGGTTGGAAGCACACTTTTCTTGCCTTGTATCCTAAGTGGCAGCTCCAAAGCACGCGGGCACTGAAGCTCCTGTGGTCAAACTCTCAAGCCCATAGATTCTGACCCAGGGGAGGCGGTGTCTCGGATAAAGGCCCTCAACTAGTTGATTCTGACCCTGTGATACTTACATGATGCTGTTCTTAGTTCTTAAACTTTTTAGGGCTAATGCATATCTCTTTGCTAGTAATATTGAGAATAAGAAAGGGAAACTTAAAAAAAAAAAGAAAAGAAAGGGAAACTAAGGGGCACCTGGATGGCTCGGTAGGTTAAGCCTCTGCCTTTGGCTTAGGCCATGATCTCAGGGTTCTGGGATCGAGCCCCCACATTGGGTTCTCTGCTAAGCAGGGAGTCTGCTTCCCCCTCTCTCTCTCGGCCGACTTGTGATTTCTCTCTCGCTCTGTCAAATAAATAAATAAAATCTTAAAAAAAAAAAAAAAAAGGCTGAAGGAGTTCTGTGATCACTTACTCGAGAGCACAGAGTGAGAAAATGAGCCCATTGCCCACACTTATGCCCAGCAGCTGAAGTAGATGTCACAGTGTGTCCTGGGTTGGTATGTTTGTCCTGCCAGAGAGCCCCTTGGGTTCTCGCTCAGCACCTCGGAACTCCTTTGTAACACAGCATGCTGGCAGAACACAGAGCAGTAAAGTCGCAGCTACCGAAAACAGGGCCTGTTGACAGTCTTGAGAAATGACAGCTGGCAGCTTCTGAAAGCCAAGCCCAGACCCACGTGAACTCAGCAGTCAGAGACCGGTGCAGTTGGGGGCACATAATAGCATACCGTCAAGTACCTGAACTTTAGAACGTGAAGTACCAGGGTTGAACACCCAGCAAGGCTGTAAGACCTTGGAGGAATTATTGTCCTCTGTGGGTATCTGTTCCTGTGTCTGAATAAGGGCAGTAATGACACCTCTTTGAGATGTCGCACAGCCTATATGAAGTAACATCTGCCAACCCTGCCTCACTGCCTGGTGTTGAGAAAACAGGAGGTGTTTTAAACGTACCGTAGAGCTTCTGAAGACACTGTTATTATCCTGAAGCCCAACGTGACAGTAATTCCAATTGTCACAATAAGGTGATGTGTGATACGCTCTACATAAGGAACCTGAGAAAAATATCATTAATCTTAGAAACCTTTCCATAAATTTTAATTTTTTTAAAGATTATATTTATTTATTTGACAGAGAGATGGAGAGCACAAGTAGGCAGAGCGACAGGCAGAGGGAGAGGGAGAAACAGACTCCTGCTGAGCAGGGAGCCTGGTATGGGGCTCGATCCCAGGACCCCAGGATCAGGACCCAAGCCAAAGGCAGAGGCTTTAACCCACGGAGCCACCCAGGGGCCCCTCCATAAATGTTAATAAATGAAGTTATGGGCAAGTTTGTGTCATAGTCCCTCCTTAATGGCCTCTCACTCCTTAAAATTTTGGAAGGTAACTGAGATGTGTCTGGCCCACTGGAGAGGTCTCACCAGGACTTTGTAACGGGACTCCTCCGCATATCACCAGCACAGGATAGATGCATTTGAAATAAACAATGTTTCCTGCATGCTTGCTATGTCCTAATGGTTCCAAGTAACATACAAACGTTAACTCCTATAATCCTCATGCTGACTTTAGGAGTTAGGTACTGTTAATATCACTGTCTCACAGATGAGGAAAACTGAGGTGTAGAGAGGCCAAGGAATGTGCCCAGGGTCATACAGGGGGAATGCAGGTTCTTCACCTACCTACACTGTCAGCTTTGTCCCAGAATGAATGACTTTCAGGTTCTCCGCACCCTGCAGGGATTCTGTGGTGGGTGGTATGGCCCAGGGAGACTGGGGCCTCACATCCCAACACGGGTTGTGTAGAGTTTCCTGGACTGACCCCAGCCCTCTCTCCTTCCCTCCCGCACCTCCCTTACTCATAGGCGTACCCTGGCTGACATCATCATGGAGAAGCTGACTGAGAAGCAGACGGAAGTTGAGACGGTTATGTCAGAGGTGTCAGGCTTTCCCATGCCTCAGCTGGACCCCCGGGTTCTGGAGGTCTACAGGGGAGTCCGGGAGGTAAGAGCTGAGAGGAGAGCCATGATGGAATACCCTGCCAGGGGCTGTGGGCTCCCACCTCCGGCTTTCTCTTCCCACACAAATGAGGCTCAGTGGCCAGGAGCAGACTTAAGAGCCCGTGTGTGTGGGTCCTGATTCCCGCTGTGCCACTCAGGCACTTGGTGGCCTTGGGGAAGGTTCCTTAACCCTGGTCTTGGTTTCCCTACCTGGGAAATGAGGTGCTAGGAGCACATCCTTACAGGGTTGTTGTGAGGACTAAGTGAGCAAGCCGTGAAAACCACACAGACGGGCCTGGCATGGGGCACGCGGCTTCTTTGTCATTGGCAGTGCTCATTCTGCACCCCCGTCCCCAGGTGTTATCCACATACCGCAGCGGGAAGCTGCCCAAGGCCTTCAAGATCATCCCTGCGCTCTCCAACTGGGAGCAGATCCTCTACGTGACGGAGCCCGAGGCCTGGACTGCAGCTGCCATGTACCAGGCTACAAGGTGGAGTAAAGGGGGTTGGGTAGAGGCTGAGGGTGAGGGGGACAGGCTTTGTCTGCCATTGTTGTTGTTTTAGTCCTGCCCCAGAGCTCTAGCCTGTGCTTCTTTAGCTCACTGTTTTCCCCGCTTTCCTGTTTCCGGCCTCAGGGCCAGGACCACATTGAGACTCTGCTCTGATGAGTTTCCAGAAGCAGGGCTCATAACCTACTGGGGGACAACCTTTGGTGTGTCAGAGGGGCCTCCGAAGTCTGTGGCTCCCCAGGCAGGCTCAGTTCCTTCGTAACAAGCGTAGAGAGAACCCATGTTGGGGAAGGAAAGGGAACAGTGGAGAGCACAGGTTTTTCTAAAGACAGCCCTCACTCTGCTTGGGGGCACCTGGTAGCCTGTCCTGTGCCCTCTCATCTGACTTGGGTGTCGGGTGCACACAGCTGACTCCCACACACCCCTCACATCTCATGTGTGCACCAGCCATGATGATACTCAAAGTGCCAGTGCCACACTGTCCAGTGACCTGGGATCTTCCCCCCATATCCCTCCTTCCCACCCCCCACCCCCCCCCAAAAAAACCAGGATTTTCGCCTCTAACCTCAAGGAACGCATGGCTCAGCGCTTCTACAACCTTGTCCTGCTCCCCCGGGTACGAGACGACATCGCCGAATACAAACGACTGAATTTCCACCTCTATATGGCTCTCAAGAAGGCCCTGTTTAAGCCCGGAGCCTGGTTTAAAGGTGGGAACCCGGGAGGCCACTGAGAGGGAGGGACTGGAGCTCCTGCAGGTGAAAGCAACAAGCCTGACTTGGGAGCTGACTATATTTCGGGTAGGTGGGGAGCTGCTGTAGCGCCTCACCCTGAACTCAAGGTGACCCCCGTCTCTGACTCTCCCCAGGGATCCTGATCCCACTGTGCGAGTCTGGCACCTGTACTCTCCGGGAAGCCATCATTGTGGGTAGCATCATCACCAAATGCTCCATCCCTGTGTTGCACTCCAGGTAGTGTCGGTGGGAGTGGAGGACAGTTAGGAGAGACCCAGATAGGAGAATCCCAGGATGGGGGTGTAGGGGGACACACAGTGGAGAAGGAGCTGGAACAGCCCTGGGTCTGTGGCTTGTTGAAGCTCCTGAGTGTGTTGCCGCTCCACTAGAATGTAAGCTCCCCCAAAACAGGAGCCCAGTGCCTGGCACATGGCAGGTGCTTAGTAAAGAGTTGAATGAATGAATAGGAAACATGGGAAGAAAGTGTGTAAGGGTGGAGATCTTCACATGCTTGAACCTATTCTAGCCAGATACTGAGACCAGCGGTTGAGCAAGAAGTAGGGATCTGGGGTGAAATCTGCGTTGAGCTGGTAACTGGGGCCGAGGGAGTGTCAGGTTGTGTAGGTGAGAAGGCAGCCTGAGATGGCCCCCTTCGGGAATAGCACAGTGCAGGGGCCAACAGAGGAGGAAAGGGGTCGGAGGGATGGTAGAAGGCGGCCCTTCCTCCAGCATCCCCCTTCCACTAATCCTTCCCCACCAGCGCAGCTATGCTGAAAATCGCCGAGATGGAATACAGCGGTGCTAACAGCATCTTCCTGCGACTGTTGCTGGATAAGAAGTATGCGCTGCCCTACCGTGTGCTGGACGCCCTGGTCTTCCACTTCCTGGGCTTCCGGACTGATAGGCGCGAACTGCCTGTGCTCTGGCACCAGTGCCTCCTGACTTTGGTCCAGCGCTACAAGGCAGACCTAGCCACGGATCAGAAGGAGGCCCTCTTGGAACTGCTCCGACTGCAGCCCCATCCACAGCTGTCCCCTGAGATTCGGCGTGAGCTTCAGAGCGCAGTCCCCCGAGATGTGGAAGACGTGCCTGTCACCATGGAGTGAGAAAAGTGACTTGCCCTGGTCTGAGGAGGCATGAGGGGACACCAGGATTCCCTGTTGGTGACACACAGCTTTTAACAGCTGAACTAGGGACAGGTCAGGACAGTGAGCGGTCACAGGCAGCTGTGACTCCCAGTGGCTGACAGGGAGGACTGGAGGGTCAGGCTGGCTCCCTCTTCCATTCTGGGTCTTCGTCCCTACTCAGTTTTGAGGCCTGACTGGAGGTGCCCCACGCCAGCATTCCCACTCCCTGGCCGGGGCTTGGAATAGGTTCTTTCCCGCGTGCTGTTGTGGCTCGTTACTGGGCTACGTAGATAAAAACCGAAGGCAGGTATTTATTGAACTTGTGTGTTTTGATGTGATCAGTGGAAATCTTTGTTTTCCCTCTTCAGCCGGCGGGAAGTTCTTTCCTATTCGTGTTCAGAGCTGATTCTTAACAGGTGTTACCCTTCCCTGCCTCCTCATTCTGTCAGTCTGTGTCTCCAGGTAGAGTCTTCACAGAGTCAGAAGCTACTTTGGGGGAATGCCAGCAACCAGGAAGGAGGGTGTTTCAGAAGATGGTCCTGTCTCAGCTGCGGGTGGACGGCTGCAGGAGAAAGTCCCAAGAGAAAACCACAGCCACGGAGAGTAAGGTCGGGCCCCAGAATGCATCAGTTTGGAGTCCCCGCCAGCCAGGTTCCCTAACTTTCTTGGCTACTTAAAGCTTCAGACCAGATGTTGGCAGAGTTGAGTCGTAAGCAGATTTTCCTGCAGCCCGTGAGCTAATCGTGATTTTTACGTTCTTTTAAGTGAGAAAAAAACTTGAGTATTTTGTGATAGGTGAAAATTATATGAAATTCTGATTTCAGTGTCCCTAAGTAAAGTTGTGTTGGGACACGGCCATGCCTATCCGTTTGTTTTTTATGGGTGCTTTGATGCTACAGCAGCAGAGCTGAGTAGGGTTGGACCTCAAAGAGTACACGGGGTTGGGGTGCCAACCCCCTCATATAGCCAGAAATCTGCGTATAAAACTTTTGACTCCCCAGACATGAGCACCAGTAGCCTCCTATGACTGGAAGCCTTACCAATAACCAGTCAATTCACACCTTTTGTAGGTTATGTGTCATACCTACAGCATTCCTACAATAAAATAAGCCAGATAAAAGGAGATGTGAAGGAAATCGTGAGAGAACACATTCACAGTCCTGTAATATTTATCAGTAGTGTTAAGTGTATACATCTATAGAGAAAAATCTGCATATGTGAGTGGACCTGCCTGGTTCCATCCCATATTCAAGGGCCACTGTACAGTCCTTTTAGAACCCTTTTTTTTTTTTTTTAAAGATTTTATTTATTTGACAGAGATCACAAGCAGGCAGAGAGGCAGGCAGAGAGAGGAGGAAGCAGGCTCCCTGCTGAGCAGAGAGCCCAATGCGGGGCTTAATTCCAGGACCCTGGGATCATGACCTGAGCTGATGGCAGAGGCTTTAACCCACTGAGCCACCCAGGCGCCCCTAGAACCCTTCTTGTTTGCTTTTGGTAACTTTCTCCCAACCCAGTTCATGTATTTGGGGAGAAACTGATCACGAATTTCGTATTTATCTGCATTTGCGTCTTTGAGAAACACTTAACAGTGCCTGGCTGCGTCCAGCTGGGTACTACAAACTGCACAGGCCCCCGACACCAGAACTGCCTCCATTTACCTCGTGTGGGGAGCCACACACACACACACACTTCAGTCTTTTTCAAGAGAAAGAGCTGTATTACAGTATATAGGTTTCTTTTTTTTTTTTTTAAGATTTTATTTATTTATTTGAGAGCAAGACAGAGCGAGCATGAGCGAGGAGAAGGTCAGAGGGAGAAGCAGACTCCCCATGGAGCTGGGAGCCCGATGTGGGACTCGATCCCGGGACTCCAGGATCATGACCTGAGCTGAAGGCAGTCGTCCAACCAACTGAGCCACCCAGGCGTCCCAGTATATAGGTTTCTTAACCATTTAAAGCAAAAACTACGCTATCTACTTCATTTCCTTCCTAAAAATGTGTCACTAAGTTACTGAAAGTTGTGCCTCAAGCCTGTTTTCCCTGGGCCCTGTGGTTTTTGTTGAGCAATTCTGCATGGTGCCATGAGTTTTAGGAATGCATACATCCCATTGTAATGCAGAACTGACGGTATCTGGGGCAAAAACCAAATGGCCAAAAGCCTAAAATACTCTGACCCTTCACAAATTGGCTTTGTGAGGACCCCTGCCTGTGTCATGACCCTTGACTTCCGCCCTTTTTACATCGTGCGCTCCAGAAACAGCTTTTGCCCATGCCACCATCCAACCCAAGAAGCCAAAGCCAGGTTTATTCCAGAATCTTTATTAAGGTAGCGTGATGGTCCTGGGCCACCAGCCTGGACCTTGTGGCCTTAAGAAAGACCTGTGTCAACAGGGCTTGCCTCCCTCTCCAGACGGGGGCTGTCACCTCGTTTATTCCTGCTCCATCCCTCACCCCCAGAGGATGGGGCAGAGGGCCAGAGGGAGAGGAGGGCATGGCCCCACCCCAGGCTGTAGCAGCTCCTCGGCCACAAAGATCCTCCAGCCAGTAGCAGAAGGGAGGGCTGCAGCAACCACCAGGGTTACTGCCATCTGTGGGGTAGATGGGCCCCACCATACCCTCTTACAGCCATCCTCAAAACAATAAATTAAAACCACCTCTTCCCTCAGCACTGACCCCCCGCCCCCGCAATCACACAGGAGAAGCTGAGCGGAAAGCAAAGCGGAAACCAAGGAGGGCTTGGTTGGTCCCGCCCCTCTGACAGAGGCCTGGGCCAGCCTCTGGGAGCAGCTGTGGGCATGGATCATGCAGGGGCCTCCAAAGTGTGTCAAGATGAGCTGTCCAGACTGTTTACCCTCACACACGTCTACCAGAGTATCTGAAACTTCTCCAGAAAGAACTCTGGAAGGTGTGACACCTTTACAAGGCACTAGGGGCATGTGGGCATCTGAGAACGTGAGAGGCCCAGAGATAAGGGCACCTCAAAAAGAAATGCTGGTACGTGTATTTTACCTACTTCAATTTCATTTCCAACCAGCCTGGCCCGCCACCAGCTAGAATCAGGGAAGGGGCAGAGCTGGTCAGATGCAGAGAAAAGGAGGAGCCCAGCCAGCCATCCACACATGGCTGGCCAGGCCCCTTAGTGCACACTGCAGAGATATGTAGGGCCTAACCCCTTAGGCTTTGCAAGGGGCGAATAGGAAGGAGCCCCCTCGGACTTCGGATGTGGCATGGTTCGTTCCTGCAGGCAAGGAGGGGGGGTGGCAGTGTCCCCTCTTCTGCTGCCCATGGCCACTGGAGGGGGCCTCTCCAGGGCTACAGGTGGATAGCTGTGACATCTGTGGGAGTGCTGGTCTGGCTGGGCCCCTGGCTACTGGAGCCCCTGGGGGCTTTGGGTGCTGGGCTGGGCGAGGTCTGGGCGGCTTCTCGGAGGCTCTCCCTGAGCGCAGCTTCGATCTGCTCCTGACAGGCCCGCAGGCAGTCCTGCAAACAGGGCAACAGTGAGCTGTGACTGCTGGGTACAATGGCAGAAGGTTGTCTCTTTGGGGACTAAGGGTCCGCTTCCCACCACCCACAGCATCTGGCGGCAGGTGTGGGGGAAGGACACCTTCCAGCACACAGGGAAGTCTGGGGAGGTTAGGCCGCAGCCCAGCCCCAGGAATCAGCCTTCAGTTCTAAGAAACTGGCAAGAGGATGTGGCAAGGGGGTGTGAGAGCAGCCCTGCGTGTGACAGCAGATCCTCCACCCCCACTCCTGCACACTATTTGGCAGGAAAAGGGCACCCAGGGACAGTGCCCTTCAACCCACCCAAGGAGCCTGCTCTTCCCCAGACCAACGCAGGAGATAAAAGGCCACAGAAGCCCCAAGGGTGGGGCACCTGAAACCAGGAGGGGGACTGGGTTAGGGATGCACACCTCCCTCTGCTGGAGACCCAGAGAATAGCGCTGCATCAGGAACTGCCCCCTGGCTGTAGGCCTCGCCCCCCAACTCACCACCTCAGTGCCTGTGATCCCTGCCAGCAGCTCCGTGAGCTCATCCCCAGACGTGGAACACGCACCCAAGCCTTGCACTGCAGCCCCAATGCTGCCCGTGGCGATCATGGATGGCGGGTACATGGCGAAGGTGTAATCTTGGAAAGAGGGAGAGGGAAGCATGAGGCAAAGGCTTGGTGAGGACTTCCTGTGGCTCAGAAAAGCGCCAGGCAGCGTGAATGGAGCAGGAAAGGGCCTCTCTTGAGAGCGCCAGGCTGGACAGCAAACTCCCACACCACCATCTGGTCCAGGGTGGTTGGTTAGTGAGCCTGACCAGGGACTGGGAAGTGAATGACTTCTCTTCCTGGTGTGGAAAAAAAAAACCAGGGTCAAGACGACCTTGGTTCTGCTCCCAGCTTCATCACTGTGAGACCCTGAGCAAGTCACTTCCAAGCCACCTACATATTTGGGGGGGGTGTCTCTCAAATACCCTATCGCTCCGATTATGTTCTGCTGCCTTCTCTGGGGCCCACAGCTCAGAAAGGATAGGATAATCACAAATTTTGAGAGAAGTATACACCACAATCCAGTTACATGCCATCCTTCCCAGTCTTCAGATTTTCCTCATTTGGCAAAAAAACAATGTGTACAGGGCTCTTACCTGTAGCACAGAGGGCCAAAAAGGTCTGTGCATGTTTTTTGACCAAGGCTTGTCGGTCGTGGGGCAGAGAAAGCCGGTGCAGAATCAGGGCCAGGAAATCATGGGCAATCACAGCAGCCAGGTCCCACTTCAGTTTCCCCAGGACCAGTACCTCCCAGTCCTGGAGGTTGGAAAGAGGGTGGAGTCAGTGGTTGAGCAGGGAAGGAGAGGGAGTAAAGCAGAAGTCTGCCGGGGAAGGAAACCCATCAGACTTGAAGGTCAAGACCCCAGTTCTGCTTCTGGGTTTACAGACTGGTGCTGCAGAATGGCAAGTCCTGGGGGAGTTGGCTTTGGGAACCTGCTGCTCACTTACCAAGTACCAGAACTACATGGTCCATATAAATTGTCTCTTTTGATCCTGTTTGGTTATCTTTCAGGGGGGCCAATAATACAGGTCCTCTCCTGACCTCATGCAGGGTTCTGGACACTTCCCCAGCCAGGGCTGAAAGAAAAGCACCAGCGAATACCACCGGCAGCATCATAACCTTGAACCTCCTCTGGAATGAAACAGATTCTCCGAAATCCCAAGGATTTATGAAAGGGAAGACCACCACTAGCCTCTCCTCCAGTTCTGCATTCCAGCCAAGTCCACACCTCTTGAAGACACCAGAATGAACATGAGGCCACGCCTCCTGTGACAGAGCCACTGAACCAACCCTGAGGTTCCTCAAAGGGGAGGTTGCCCAACCCAACCCACATCCCGTTGGTGGGACACTGGGGAGTGAGTCTGAGATGTAGCACCCCACTGTACCCCCTTTCCCTGGAACCACAGTGGCTAGGGCCATCTAAGCCTCAGAAGCCAAGGGGAGGCCAAACCCAACAAGATAGGTCCAGATGATCCCTGAGGGACCAAAACCCCTATCCTCGCCTGCCCTCACCTACATACCACTGCTGGTGGGGGAGGCTGGGAGCCCCACCCAAATCCACTCGTCTGGGGTTCCTAGTCCTGGCCCCATTTCTGAGTTGCACACATTAAGATTTCTTCACTGTTTTATCTCAGGAAGGAACTCATGGGTTTGGCTCCTTACTGAAGCAGAAATGGCAACCCCACCCAATCTCTTCCAGGTCCCCTGTCACAGCTGTCCCGTTCCTGGCCCCCACCTTAGTGTCATCCTCCCAAATCAGCCCAAGCCTCTCACAGGGCCCTATAGAAAAAGCCTGGCCCAGAGCCAAAGTTGGGCAGAGAAGCCAGCATTCTACTCATGCTAGTCCCAGTGCTCCAACTTCTAACTCGGAAATGATAGAAAGCACCTAGCCTCTAAGGAACCATTTAGAAGGGGTGAGGCCCTCCCTGCGGGGAGGCAGGGAATCCCATGTGAGAGAAGCAAGCCACCCCACCCTGGATCGGGGCAATTCCTGAAAATCTCCGCCCTCACTTGGTGGACAACACAGCCCTGGGAGCAATTAGTGACAGTGGTTGGCAGCTTTCACATCTGGAAGCTCTGAGGCCCCCTGGGCTAGCCAGAAGACCCTGACCTTCCTCATCTGCTTCGGTGCAGTCTTCCCCCTCCTTCTCTGGGCCTCAGCTGGGCCTCTCTGCTGCGCAAGGGCTTGGACTGACTGGAGTTCTCTCTGCAGTCCCTTCCAACTCTGACCTTCTAGGAAGGCATCTGCACACTCCTCCCCCAGCTCAGGCAGCAGGAGTGGAGGAAGAGTCCTTGTGGCCTATTCTGGAAAACTCCCCTCTCACAAAGGCACACACCCCTTGCCAGTCTTTTCACAAAAAGGAAGTCCTCTTCTACCCTCCTGCCCAAGCCCCTCCAAAAACATCTGGCTCGCTGGCCCTGGAAACCGGCTCCACCTCCAGACTTGCCAAAAACTACCAGATTCATCACAAAAGAGCTGTGAGGCCTCCCAGATTCCCAGCTCTGGCCTCCTACTCCCATCTCCGAGAGCGACTTGGCAGGAAGAGGAATCCTGTTCCTCGACAAGCAGCAGTCGGGGGCCCCAGTACCCTGGCCTCCTGGCCAGCCAATCACAGCAGCCTCCAGGCTGCCCTCCTCCCCGGGAGATGGGGCCCAGAGACTCCTCTCAGGGTCAGGAGAAGACTTGGCCGGCCGTAGAGCAAGGTGGAGGAAGGTGCCAGCTCACCCATCCTCCTCTCCGGGCTCAATGGGGGAAAGAGAGCCTTGACTCTCCTTCCCTGCCTGGGGAAGAGTCCAGCCCAAGTTCCCAGCAAGAGGCCGAGGGAGCCACTTCCCAAACCACAGGAGTGACAGCAGCTCCCCACAGGGTTATGAAAGACCAGGGCAGAGAGGGTGGGCCCGGGGAGAGGGCAGCATTATCACATGGGAAGCAGCTGCAGCTCAGCTCCGGCCTCTGGCTGAGGGGGAAAGGGAGAGGTGACTCCAGTGGGTCGGAAGCAGCAGCTCAAGCTCCTCAGAATGAGGACAAGAAAGGAGCTGGCTCTTCTGGGATATAAAAGGAAGGAAGCAAGGTGGGATGACAACTCCTCGGCCCTTCCTGAGAGCAATCAGGGCCTGACCATAATTGGCTCTGGGAGGCTTTTCAATCACAAAGTCCACACTGGGACAAAGACTCAACCAAGGCAGCCCCTCCCCCACATAAAGCACATTCCACTCCCCCCACTCCAGTGGGGGATGGGGGGGTGCGGGCATGTCCTTTTGCTGCCAATAAATAGCTCACGGTAGCTGTGTAAACCCAGAGGCAAAGTACTAGTGAGTGGAGACATGCAGTTTGACTTGTTGCTATCTGGGGGAAAGACCAGGAAGGAATGGCACCCCCTGGAGGTCAGGAGAAGGGGATCCGACTGGTGCCGGCAGCTCGAGCCTGGGCTGGGGCTACCCTGACGGTCCCACCGCGGTGCCCCATCTTTTGCCCCCCAAGATAAGCTGCCCGCTGCCCTGCCCAGGGGCAGAAAGCCTCTGAGGTCTCCGGGCTTTTCTTTTCCTGCGAAGTGAGGTGGTACTGTGTCGGGGGTGGGGAGATGTAGGCACGCACCCGCAGCTGGCGGGGAGAGACGGAGTGGTCGGTGTAGATGCACAGTTTTTCGATGGTCAGGGGCGTAGTCTCGCGCAGCTTGGAGGCCAGCAACATGCAGACCGCACCCAGGAGCTGCAACTGCGCCTTTCGGGTGGGGACGCAGGACAGGTAGCGATCCAGGTAGTTCATGGCCAGGGGGAAGACTTCCTCCTCACAGCGCTGCTCCTCACAGACCTGGGGGAGGGCGCACAGTCACTTCTGGGGCGGGGGCCTGGGAAACGCTGCAGGACTGAAGGAGCGGGGCGGGTGGCGTCGAAGGGAAGTGGGATGGGAAGCAAAAAAATGGGAGGGGGGTATAAGTGTACCTTCAGTGACAAGGACTAACATACCGAGGAGGATGTGCCTTCCCCGAGGTGACGCCCCCCACTTCCTCTGAGTTGCCTGCCTCCTCGCCCCCCTCCCCTGGGGGCTGGGGGGTTACGCCAGAGGCTCCCTTCCTTAAGAAAGATTCCAAACTCAGACTGCCCTCCCCCATGGCGAGAATGGGGTTGGGGAAACGGAAGAGTCACCCACGGTAGCCAAGAGAACTGGGACCTTACCCCCCATTACCACCACCCACTGCACACACCCAAAGGGAAGGGAGGAGACTCCAGCCGCTGCCTCCCGCACTTTTCATTTCCCTGACTGCCGGAACAGCGCGCGCCACCCCCACCGTCTGCCCAGCCAGAACCCCGCGACAGACACAGGAACCGGCTCTGGGGCGGGGGCGGCCAAGCCCAGGGTTTTCCAGGCGCGTTCTCCTGAGAAATCCGGGCGGGGGAGGGAAGCAGGAGACGCCGAGAGAAGCCGAAGGGGAAAGGGTTGCCCTGGTCCCGCTTTCCCGGCCCAAAGAGATGGTTAGTGAGGGTGCCAAACGACCGTCCGTCAGAGTTAGGGCTGGGGAAGGGAAAGGGACACCACGGAGGCAGTCGGCCTGCTAGGGCACCCGAGTGAAAAGCCAGGCCCCGGGGATCTGGGCCACCAAAGCATCTTGCCGATCGTTGTTGGGACCAGGATGTCCCGACAAGGCGGCCGGGGGATGTCCGGAGCCGGGCGGCGAGGGAGGGGAGACCCTTCCGGGCCATACCTCCAGCATCCAGTACGCCAGCATCTTCCGCATGTGCGGCTTGATCTCCCTCTGCACACACTGGAAGTAGGAGGCGCGGGGCACGTAGCGCTCCTCCAGGCGGAGCAAGCTCTGCAGGACACGCTGGTCCCCGAGCAGTCGCGGGTCCGGCCCGGCCCGGGGCGCGTGCCGGGTGCCCTCGCAGCACAGCAGCTCCATATTCGGGCGGCGCACAGGCGGGCGGGAGCTCGGACTCGGGAGCCAGAACTCAGGCGGCGGTCGGCAGAGCGCGGGGCGCGGGTCTGGTGCTGGCGCTGGCACTGCGCGGCCGAGCCCCAGCCCGCCCGCGCCGGCGCGCGCGCCGCTTCCCTGACAGGCGCCCCGCCCCTCGCGACGATGTAGCAACCGTGGAATGCTCGAGCGCCGCAACGCACAAGGGGCGGGGCCGCCGGAGCCCAGGACGGAAAGGGCTGGCTAGCCGCCCCCTCCCCCCGGGCGGCCGCATTGGTCGGCGGGGCGCGGGCCGGCCGGCTTCCGGGCGCTCCCGGCCCTTCTGACCACCCAGTGGAGAGAAGCTCGGTGGAGGTGGGCCTCTTCCCCACCTACCAGCCCTCCCCTCTGGCTTCTCCAACTCGAGCCGCCCAGGAAAGAACTTTTTTCCAAAGGTTATTCATTCATTCGTAAAACCTTGCTTCACCAACTGTCCCCCACCAAAGGCTCTGAGAATGATAATAAGCTAGCCACTTGTTCATGCACACCGGTCTAAGCACTTAACGTGTAACGACTTACTAAATTTCTCATTCGCGCTCTACGAGTCACGTATGAGACTCATTTCGCAGATGACGAAACGGCAGCACAGTGAGGGTCACAATCATAGTCTGTGGCCCAGCTAGGACTGGGAAGCTGAAGTCTGGCTGCAGAATCTGTGCTCTGCACCACGGCCAAGAAAACTGCGATCCCCAGCCGGGCAAAATTGGCATGGCTCGAGAGCTACTGAGAAATGGCCCACCTCAGACTTGCTGGGTCCAAATCTGCATTTCAACAAGATCCCTGGGGCTCCCTGGGCACACCTAAGTATGAGAAGGACGGGTCTAAATCTGCATATTACAGTGATACAACGGGGCGGAAAGGCCATGGATTCAAGGCCTCACCTTGTCATTCAGTTGGCTGGGTGGCCTTGGACAAGCCTTAGTTGCTGTTTGAGGAAAACATGGGCAGAGAAACTAGATCCTCTGTGAAGAGAATTCCTGGCTCTAGCTCTGTAAAATCTCCCAGCTCCATTTCTTCTACTTCCCACAGTCTGGGTTACTTCGTAGTTTCCCCAAAGCCGGATTCTATGTGACAAAGGGCCAGACAGACCATAGGCTTCCTGGAAGGCTCCAATGGGAGAAGGCCTGAGGAGATGCCTGCCTCTCCTGGGATCCTCCCCAGGAAGGAGCCACTGACGAAGTGAGTTGTTAGAGAAATGAGTTACGGAAAAGGCAAGTTTTACGCTAAGCATTTTCTCAATGAATTTTTTTTAAGTTTTTTTTTTTTTCTTTATTTTTAAGTAACCTCTGTTCCCAACGTGGGGCTCAAACTCACCACCCGAAGATCTAGAGCCGCATGCCCTTCTGATTGAACCGGCCTCGCACCCCTGTTCTTTTAGTGTCATTTTCATATCATAGGCATACTCATTTACACTATAGAAAACTTAAGACAATATGTATAAGCCACAAAAAAAGGGAAATAACCACCTACAATTTCACCATCCAGAGACAACCCTTTAAAATGTCAGTGTTTATCTTTCTAAAATTTTTCTACAAATAAACATATTTTTAGGAATAAGATTGCAAGTTGTTTCTTAAGCTTTTTCACTAAAAAAAAAAAAAATACTGTTAATACTTTTCCCATATCATTAAATAGTCCACATTTTAATGGCTATGTAGTATGCCTTTGGTGAATGTATCAAAATATATTTTACCAAAGCTGTATTGCTGGAAATTTAAGTTGTTTCTAGTTCTTCACTACGAGAAAAAATACTGTCAAATATTTTTGTCATATCATTGTGCACACTCATGATTATTTCTAAAATGAATTAATTTCTAAAAGTGGAATTTCTCAATGTAAGGTTATGAAACATTCTAAGGCTTTTGATACAGTTCTTATTACCAAATTTCCCTGATAAGAATCTGAACAGAAGGGCGCCTGGGTGGCTCAGTTGGTTAAGTGTCTGCCTTTGGCTCAGGTCATGATCCCCAGGGTCCTGGGATCACTCTGGGTTCTCTGCTCCTTGGGGAGCCTGCTTCTCCCTCTCCCTCCGTCTGCTGCTCCCTCTGCTTGTGTTCTCTGTCAAATATATAAATAAAATCTTTAAAAAAAAAAAAAAAAGCTGAACTGATCTAATGAACAAACATTAGAAAACTTGAAAGAAAAAAAACCTGCCAATTAGAGAGATGAAAATAGCAAATACTGTATCAGTAATTACATGTATTTTTAATTCAAGAGCACTTGTATCAACATGTATGTGTACCATGCACTTTGCCTGATCCTGTGAGTCCTTTCCTCCCCCTGTCTTCAAAAATACAAACATGTGGGTGCCTGGGTGGCTCAGTGGGTTAAAGCCTCTGCCTTCGGCTCAGGTCATGATACCGGGGTCCTGGGATCAAGCCCCGCATCGGGCTCTCTGCTTGGCAGGGAGCCTGCTTCCCTTCCCCTCTCTCTCTCTCTGCCTACTTGTGATCTTTGTCTGTCAAATAAATAAATAAATAAAATCTTAAAAAAAAAATACAAACATGCATTTCTTTAGCTAATCATTGCAATGCACTCTTTTATGAAAAAGAACACTAAATTTAAAGCTATAAAGATTGGGTATGAAGTTCTGAGGAGGCAAAGATGTGGAAGTGTAAGAGGCATTTAGGGTGCAGGAGGACTAAAAAAATGTAGCTTTGGGAGGCTTCTGGGGGGCTCAGTCCGTTAAGCATCTGGCTTCAGCTCAGATCATGATCCCAGGGTCCGCTTGGGGCCCTTTGCTCGACAGGGAGCCTGCTTCTCATTCTCCTTCTGCCTGCTGCTTCCCCTACCTGTGCGCATGCGCGTGCGCTCTCTCTCCCTCTCTCTCCCTCTGACAAATAAATAAATAAAATCTAAAAAAAAAAAAAAATGTAGCTTTTGAAACACAGAACCAAAAACTAGATCTGTCCTGAAGCAAGGTGTTTCTTTGCTTTCAGAATTATTGAGTAGGGCTGCTGAGATAAGAAAACCATTGTCTTTGGGCACCTGGGTGGCTCAGTGGGTTAAGCCTCTGCCTTCGGCTCGGGTCATGATCTCAGGTTCCTGGGATCGAGTCCCGCATCGGGCTCTCTGCTCGGAAGGGAGCCTGCTTCCTCCTCTCTCTCTCTCTGCTTGCCTCTCTGCCTACTTGTGATCTCTGTCAAATAAATAAATAAAATCTTTAAAAAAAAAAAAGAAAAAGAAAACCTTTATCTTTGATGAGAAAGTAAATCATTATTTCATATCTTAAAAATTTTCCAGACTTCTTGAGCTAATGACATATACCTAAGTTGTAGTAGTTTAAGTTAGACAACATAATGATTTGATGTATATATATATTGCAAAATGACTATCCCAATCAGTTAACAACTATCACTTCACCTAGTTTCTCCTCTTCTGATGAGAACTTTTAAGATCTACTCTCTTAGCGAACTTCAAATATACAATACAGTAGTTAACTATAGTCACCATATTGTGCCTTGTATTTCCAGAACTTTTTTACCTTATATCTAAAAATTTGTACCTTTTGGGGTGCCTGGTGGCTCAGTGGGTTAAAGCCTCTGCCTTCGGCTCAGGTCATGATCTCAGGGTCCTGGGATCGAGCCCCGCATTGGGCTCTCTGCTTGGCAGGGAGCCTGCTTCCCTTCCCCTCTCTCTCTCTCTCTGCCTGCCTCTCTGCCTACTTGTGATCTCTATCTGTCAAATAAATAAATAAAATCTTTTGACCACCTTACCATTTACCCTACCTGCCACACTTCCCCACCCCCTGCCTCTGACAAGCAACAATCTGTTTTCTATACCTGAGTTTAGTTTCCTTAGATTCCACGTACAAGTGACATCATATAGTACTTGTCTTTCCCTGTCTGACTTATTTCACTTAATATAATGGCCTCAGGGCCTGTCAATGTTGTCATAAATGGCAAATTTTTTTTCTTTTTTAGTAGCTGAATAATCTATATATATACACACACACACACACACACACACACATATATACATGCCACATTTTTATAGAGAAAAAACTACAGATGAAAAGTGGAATATTAGTAATAATATTTTGACAAGTTATTAGACATTTACATGTCTTATGTAAATGAATTACCTATTTATGTCCTTTGCCCATTCTTTTTTTTTTTTTAAGATTTTATTTATTTATTTGACATACAGAGATCACAAGTAGGCAGAGAAGCAGGAAGAGAGAGAGAGAAGAGGAAGCACGCTCCCTGCTGAGCAGAGAGCCCGATGCATGCGGGGCTTGATCCCAGGACCCTGGGATCATGACCTGAGCCGAAGCCAGAGGCTTTAACCCACTGAGCCACCCAGGCGCCCCTCCTTTGCCCATTCTTTTATATGATTTTTTTTCTTATTGACTTATAAGTGCTTGTTACATTTGAAGGCTATTAACCCCTTTTCATATTTTTCTTTGTCATATATTTTGTAATTTTTATTTTTAGTTCATTGTTTGCCTTTCACTTTTGATTCATGGGAGATTTCTTTTTCTTTTTCTTTTTCTTTTTTTTTTTTTTAAGATTTTATTTATTTAGGGGCGCCTGGGGCTCAGTGGGTTAAGCCTCTGCCTTCGGCTCAGGTCATGGTCTCAGGGTCCTGAGATCCAGCCCCGCATCATCGCATCGGGCTCTCTGCTCAACAGAGAGCCTGCTTCCCTTCCTCTCCCTCTCTGCCTGCCTCTCTGCCTACTTGTGATCTCTGTCTGTCAAATAAATAAATAAAATCTTAAAAAAAAAAAAAGATTTTATTTATTTATTTATTTGACAGAGATCACAAGTAGGCAGAGAGGCAAGCAGGGACAAAGAGGGGGGAAGCTGGCTCCTCGCTGAGCAGAGAGCCCGATGCAGGACTCCATCCCAGGACCCCGGGATCATGACCTGAGCTGAAGGCAGAGGCTTTAACCCACTGAGCCACCCAGGCACCCCAATGGGAGATTTCTTCTTATTGACAAATAAAAGTTTTTTATTTTACATAGCCTTATTTACTGATATTTTCTGCAATGACTTCTGCCTTTGAATCATGCCTTGTCCACCTTAAAATTTATAAAAGCGCTACGAGAAAATGTAGGAAATATTTA